CTATCTCAAAAAAAAAAAAAAAAGCCGGGGATGTAGCTGAGCGGTACAAGTGCCTGACTGGCAAGTGCAAGGTCCTGAGTTCGAGTCCCAGTACCAAAAAAAAAATACCAATGTGCCTAGAGCTCAGGAGTAGACATCCTCTGTTTAAAGTCCCTTTTCTTTTGATCTTTTTGAGGCAGGGTCTCACTATGCAGTTCAGGCTGGCCTGCAGCTCACTTTGTATCCCAGGCTGGCCTCAAACTCACAACAATCCTCCTGCCCCAGCCTCCTGACTGCTGGGATTACAGGCATGCACCTCCACACCTGGCTAAAGTCCTTTATTAAACCACACTTTAACATGTCTTGAAGATTTTTCTCTGGAAATCAGGGAATTCAATTTCATGATTAGGGTCACTTATAGCATGTAACTTAGAAGTCTGATTAATTATACGCCGAATTGGTGTTCTTCCTTAAGTCATATAGTGCAGTATGCCTACTAACATTACTTTGGGGGCTTATCCTGGACTTGGATTTCCTATTTTCTCTTGAGGAAGACGTGCCTTTGATCGCTTCTTGCGGCATGTAATGAACTGTGCCAACCTGAGAGTCTTTAACAGTGCTTATCGTGTCAGGCTGTATTTGGTTTGCAATGCCAGAATCAATTAGCTTCAGCGTTGCATCAACTATTAGGAAGTTAGCGGCTCCAGATCACTATGAACAATGCCATTGGTAGATGTGTGTACTGCCTCCAACATACTTTTCTAGTAACTCTTGCGCTCCCATGGATTGATTGACTTTTTCTTCTTAAGCCAACCGTTAAGATCAATATTTCCACATTCTATTACCACGTAGATATACTAATCTGTTGTTTCATAATCATCGAGTCAGATGGTTTTATCACCATGCTGTTGTAGTTTATTCAAGTAAGCTATTTCATTCTGATAACTTTCAACAGTTTGGTTATCTGCTTCTTCTAAGTTCATATATTTTATTGCATATATCTGGTTTTTTGGTACCAGGAATCAAACTCATGACCTCAGGCCTGCCAGGCAAGCACTTATACCACTGAGCTATATCCCTGACCCTCCATATATTTGTTTCTTTTCATTCGAGACCTGAAATACCTTACTTGAACCTCCCCTGCCTATCTGCTTTAATATGGAGTAAACTGTTCCTTTAACTGAAATGTACTCATTTGAGTATCCTGCAATCTGTAGGTTCTGCAGAGGAGTGACAGGAACTTGCTTCTGCTGCTGCTGGAAGCAGGTGAATCAGCTCTTAGGGGTTGATGATGGGTACACTGGGGGAAAGCCATTCTGTTCTTGACAACTGGAGTTCTAACACAGCTCATGAGGTCTGGGGACATAGCTCAGTGCCTGTGTGGCAATCTTGACGTCCTGAGTTCTATTCCTGGTACCAAAAAAAGCAAAACAAAACAAAAATAAAATAGCTCATGCAATCATCCAGAGTATTTCTACTTGGTGTCTGACAAACAGATTTTGGATCAATCCATTTAGGCACTGATAAGGGTGGCCACTGCTTTGAAACTGAAAAGACAGGTTGCTCTGCAGTGGTGCGTTTCTGCTCTGTATCAGTCTTTGGGGTTATGTCTGCAATACCTCACTGATTGGAAAGTACAGCAGGATTCTGGCTCACCCATTCTGACTTTCTCTTGGATTGCCATTGTTTCCGGGTGCTTTCTGGTACCTTTGGGTCTTCATGCTCCTTAGTCTCTTCTAACTTAGTTAGAAGACTTGATTCAGCTTTATTCTTCAGAGTTACTGAATCGGTATTAAGTTCAAAACTCTTTTCACCTTATACCAGAGATTCCTTTGAACAGGTATTTTGAACAGACTTTAAATTTCTCAGTTCACAGGAATTATTTCCACTTGTTTTGGATTCAGGGATAATCAAATCTCAGCATTCTGATCCAGAGATCCGCCTTTTTGTAAAACTGGGCATAACTGATCCATCTGTCTTCAGTTGATAATCTAGACTATTTTGAAGGTTAACTGGGACTCTTCCAAATGGGCGAGACCGTTTAGTTCTGTTAGCTTGTTTCAAGGGATGTCGATGAACTATCTCTGCATCTTGTTCGGCCATGTTCTCCCCATATAAAAACCTGGCTTTAGTGGCCGGCCCCCTGGAATCACAACTGATTCCTCTATTCTGTAAATGTCCAAGGAGCTGGAGATGGATTCTTGGGCCGTTGATATTGTAGATACTGATAAACTCTTCTTTCCCCTCCTGAAAGCAGCTGCTTTTTCTGGAGGTTTACATAATGAAGGCAATTTCCAGCATTTCTGGTGGTACTGCTCCACAACCCACAGCTCTATGGAGAAGCTGCTTACTTTTTTTGAAATTACCTTGAGACAATTCAAACTGTGCAAAAGATACACGGGCAGAGCGAATTTCTTGCAGTTTGCTCTGGCCCTTTGCAAGTAGCTGCATGCATCCTCTGGCTCTGGAATAGCTTTTCTTTTATTTATTTATTTATTTATTTATTTATTTTTTTTTTGGTTTTTCTCCGGTACCAGGAACTGAACTCACGACCTTGCGCTTGCCAGGCAGGCGCTTTGCCGCTGAGCTAAATCCCCAGCCCCTATTTTTGTCTTTTTGAGACAGGGTCTCACTTTACAGTTCAGGCTGGCCTTGAACTCACTTTGTAGCCCAAGCTGGTCTTGAACTTGCAACAATCCTCCTGCCTCAGCCTCCCGAGTGCTAGGATTACAGGTGTGCGCCACCGTGCCCGGCTGTGGAATAGCTTTTAATTCAGCAAATCTCACTTGAATTTGAGCAAAACTCTCACTTTGGCCATATTTATCTGGAGGAAGTGCTTCAGTTGCTTGACTGTAATCACTAAGTAATTTACTTAAAAGAGTGTCATTTAGGGGACACTGGTTTACTCTCGTTTGAGTAAGAAATTCTACCAGCCCTCGGGGGTGTTCGCTGTCATCTTAATTTCATTAACAGCTCCCGAGTCATCTGTCGGTAACAGCAGAGACTTTATTCATGCTTAGCTCATCAGTAAGATCTTCACTTTTTAATTTATTTTTAATATCTCTCACTTTGTTCATTATGGAATGATGTTAATTCTCGTTAATGAAAATGACAAAGACGACAGCAGTGGTGACTGCACAGCAGCCAGAACTTGGCTTTGCTGCACAATCTCCTCTCATTCCAGTGCCTCAAGTTCTGAGGTTTGTTTTCCTCTTCTCAGCTCACCACCCCAAATTCTGAAGTTTGAGTTTCTAAATTCCTCGAGAACGATGAGAAGTTGTCACCAGAGTGCTGTTCTGATTCTTTCTTGAGTCGTCACCACTGTGGACAAATAAGGAGGTGACAGTCCGGCCTGAAGAGCAAGGACTTTGAAGCAGGACAGGGTGGAACTCTTGATCCCACACTTAACCAACGGACTGATCAAATGGTGCTTCTCCGGGGGTCGGGGCAAAAGATGGAGTTCTTCTCTACCTTCCTCCCTCCCTGCTCTCCTTCTTTGTTATTTCTAAAATATTACAGACCAGTTCTTTTGAAAAATACAATAAAAGCATTTTAGCAACATTAAGCTGCTATAAATGTTCTTAAATGCAACTATGAATTTCTGTTCTGACTTCATTTAGAACTGCCAACTACTAGCTCAGTCTATGTGGACTGTTTAGCGCATGACGTGCCTGGGATATTGTCACCACTGAAGAATTAGGAGCCACTTGGGAGGCCTATGCCAGAAGTGTGGATAAAAAGACGGGGGCTGCCGGGCGTGGTGGTGCATGCCTGTAATCCCATCACTTGGGAGGCTGAGGCAGAAGGATCACTGCGAGTTCAAGACCAGCCTGGGCTACAAAGTGAGCTCAAGGCCAGCCTGAACTGCAGGGAGACCCTGTCTCAAAAAGACCAAACAAAACACAACCAGACAAAAACCAGGAGCACAACCCCCAGAGCTAGAAGAGGTAGGTGACACCTCAGGTACTCAGAGCTGAATCTCATCTGGCTTAATTTTGTCCCACCCTACCCTACTATGGTCAGCTCATCTGTGTGCGGCGAGACCTATCCCAGAACTCCAGGGTGTCTCCATGATATTTCTGTCATTGCTTCAGTATCTGTCTTTCTGTGCTGGGAGCTGAGCTCAGGCATCCTCAGCGTGTGCTTCGACACAGAGCTGCCTGGAGCCCTCTGTGGTGTGTTAAAAGGGGTGAGTGGCGAGGCTGGCCCAAGCCGTGAGCCATGCCCTGGACATCCAGTTCTGGACTCTCAGCCTGCTGCTCTGTTTTGCCCAGGCGTGGATGACCCTAGACCACCACTAGTAGTACGCAGCATAGGCTGGAGGGTGCCCAGCGCAAGAAGGCGGGAGTGCACATTGTCAGGACTTCCTCCAGGCTCCAGATTGTCACTCTCCCTGTCAACCTCAGTCGTTAAGTTGGGAAAACACTGCTTACGTGCCCTGTTTATTAACAGTGCTATTAGCCCAGAGGAGGAATTATCCATCCATCCTCAGCCAAAGGAAGTAAGGCCGGGGTTGTGTGCCCTGATGAGGTTGCCAGGATTTCTCGTAGCTTACACACCTGTGGGAAAGCCAGAGTGTGCTGCTGACACATGAAGATGGTTGTCACACCCTTTGGGACTCACCCGAAGGCTTCTTGAGCACATGACCTTCGGGCACACATAGACAGGAGGCGGCCTCCGCCTGAGAAATCTCACTGGCTGAGGCACAAGTAACAACGGCGGCACCAGCAAGCAAGGTGAGATGGGGCTGAGCTGTAGCTGATGACTCTCACCCTGAGCGGCAGGGAGAGAAGCACCCAAGACGTGCTTGACGCTACAGAATCCACCTACATCAAAGTTAAGCTCATGTCAAGCTACGTCCAGTATCAAGTGTTAAAAGCTCTTCATCCCCAGCACTGTAAGAAGGAAAAAAATAATAACTTTTCAGGCATTATTTACATCAGATAAAGGCTAATCCTGATCTAAACATTTTTACTCTTTCAGCTGTGGCATGAGGCCCTCCAAAGCATCAGGAGCATAATATCTCTCTCAAATATGAAGTACCCAAAAAGTATTCCAGACGAAGTCTCGTACAGAAATAACCTGGTGGAGGCAAGAGATGTGAGTCAGATAAGCCCAAACTGGTCAGTTCTGTGAGAAGAAAAAACAAATCAGTATGTTGATCCATTGCGTGGTTCTAAAACGAGGAAAAGTGGCGCCGAATCGGTCCCTCCCACCACCCGAGCTGCAGTTGTCTAAGGCACTGGATATCAGCCCTATGCGGCAGAACACGCAGAGGTCAAGGGGTCAGAGTGGGGAAGAAAGAAAATTCCAGCCCCTGAAGCAGCTGGGACAAAGCTAAAGGACAACAAATAAAGTAGTCTGGGGAAAGAATGATAAGACAGGTGCAGGTGGGTAGGAGCTTTCACTGTCAGGCGTTGCTCACAGCACCACTAACAAAATGAAAGGAAACAAGCAGAAAACACACAACAACAACAACAACGAGAAGGACCACGACGAGGATCACAACAGTACGAGCTTTCAGCTGCAAACCTGGGTTAAAATCTTCTCATAAGGTGGGTTTAGCGATGATTCAATGATGTAATACAGAAAAAGCCTCTCGAAGGTAACGTCCAGGTTAAAGGAATGAGAGTTATCACTGGTACAACAGCAATACGGAAGAAGGCCAGTCAGGGGCTGGCTCACCCGTCCTTCCAAGCGGCAGTCCCCAGCCCTCAGACAAGGAGGAGTTACCCTCTGACATCTAGAGAGCCTCTTCAAGGGCAAAAACGGGTGAATTTGGC